CAGTCCTTGTATACCTGACATACACCACTGATGCATCCCTGATACATCCCCGATATACAGACCTGTAGTCAGCAGTATTACAGCTATAACACGGAGGCCTGTAGTCAGCAATATTACAGCTATATCACGGAGGTGTGTGGTCAGCGATATTACAGCAACATCACGGAGGCCTGCAGACAGCAATATTACAGCTACATCACGGAGGCCTGTAGTCAGCAATATTACAGCTGAAACACGGAGGCCTGCAGTCAGCAATATTACAGCAATATCACGGCGTCCTGCAGTCAGCAATATTACAGCTACATCACGGAGGCCTGCAGTCAGCAATATTACAGCTATATCACGGAGTCCTGCAGTCGGCAATATTACAGCTACATCACGGAGACCTGTAGTCAGCAATATTACAGCTACATCACGGAGACCTGTAGTCAGCAATATTACAGCTACATCACGGAGACCTGTAGTCAGCAGTATTACAGCTATATCACGGAGGCCTGTAGTCAGCAGTATTACAGCTATGACACTGAGGCCTGCAGTCAGCAATATTCCAGCTATATCACGGAGGCCTGCAGTCAGCAATATTCCAGCTATATCACGGAGGCCTGCAGTCAGCAATATTACAGCTAAATCACGGAGGTTTGTAGTCAACAATATTACAGCTGCATCACGGAGGCCTGCAGTCAACAATATTACAGCTATATCACGGAGGCCTGCAGTCAACAATATAACAGCTGCATCACGGAGGCCTGCAGTCAACAATATTACAGCTGCATCACGGAGGCCTGCAGTCAACAAGCAACAACCTGTAATCAACAAAGCAATGAGGCTGTGTAGATAATGGATTCCAAGAATACGATCAATATTTATATTCACGGGGGAACAATAACTGTGCTTTACATAAAGTTCAATTAAAAAATACAGTTATTCTAAAAATGAATAATGCATCTTTTAATACATAGTCAAAACGACCTCTCCTCGTCTTAAAGGTCGTGGTTCACCATTTACACGTGCATGTCCATGCACGGCGCACAATTCGGATGTTTGCGTGTTTGTTGGGAGCATGACACTCACACACGTGGTTTTTAATGTAAACAGCGCACAATGATTGTTCAGCTACCAGGTGCTTATAAAAGCCCTTTTGTTTAACCGTAAATAATGCTTATGCAATGCCAGGGCTTGGAGAAAATCAACGCCAACGCGCCGTGGGTATGCTGCAAACAGGAACGCCGCAAAACAAGGTTGGCAGATATTTTAATGTTCATCGAAACACAATATCATCTCTTTAGAGTGAGTGAGTGAGTGATTATGGTTTTACGCCGCTTTTAGCAATATTCCAGCAATATCACGGCGGGGGACACCAGAAATGGGCATCACACATTGTACCCATGTCGGGAATCGAACCCGGGTCTTCGGCGTGACGAGCCAACGCTTTAACCACTAGGCTACCCGACCGCCCTCATCTCTTTAGAAACGTTATCTACAGCAGGACAACACTCATGACTTGCTAGGGAGTGGTCGTCCATGTGTGACGTCACGTCAATAAGACAACCATATTCGGTTGGTGCATCAGATACATCGACACCAAACTGCCACACTGCCACAGCTCGGACAATTCCTGGGTTGAGACCAATTCGTTAGTAGCAGAACCGAATGCAACCGTGCCCAGAGACTTACGTGAAAAAACTGGATATATGACGACTGCATGATGTTGGTGACCTGGTATCGTTGCTGTAATCTGTAGACGGTTCTCACGTGGACAAACACTCGTGCAGCCTGGCTTGCATGCAGTCTTCATAAAGCCTGGTTTCTCTGATTCTTCGTAAGTCTTGGCATGGCGCTCGTGTCGACACAAGAATGTTGGATCCACGTATTGGGGTGCCGTTTATTAGAAAAGGCGCAAAGAAACGCAAATGAATGTTGATTTTCATGGAAAGCAGTCAGGACTTTGTACCATGGTCGTTTGTTAAACTGCGTTTTGGAGATCCATTTTATCTTTATTTGTGTCACTGTTTGACCGTTTACATTACATACATCTAACGTCAAAAACGAGATACCTCCAAAACATGCATTGATATTTCAATGGGAAACTTTAATTAAATATTTTCGTGAAGTGACGTTTCTTTTGCGGTTTAGTATATATGCAACATCAGAAGGATCATATAAGTGGTTATGCGTACATTGTAACAACCAGATGCCTGGTGTGAACAGTCAGGTCATTGTCGACCATACCGTCAGATGGGATTCTGTTTGACTGAACGCGCCGAGCACTGAGACATACGAGTGTCCTCAGACACATACACATACGCGCACGCACGCACGCACGAACGCACGAACGCAGGCACACACGCACGCACATCATGTTTAGCACAGGTGACATGGTATATTGAACTGTATCGCACTGATGATAAGGTATGATGACGTGTATCGCTCTGATGGCATGGTATGGTGACGTGTATCGAACTGATGACATGGTATGATGACGTGTATCGAACTGATGACATGGTATGATGACGTGTGTCCCTCTGATGGCATGGTATGGTTACGTGTATCGCACTGATGATATGGTATGGTGACGTGTATCGAACTGATGGCATGGTATGGTGACGTGAATCGCACTGATGACATGATATGATGACGTATATCGCACTCATGACATTGTATGGTGACGTGTATCGAACTGATGATATGGTATGATGACGTTTATCGCACTGATGACATGATATGGTGACGTGTGTCGCACTGATGACATGATATGATGACGTATATCGCACTGATGATATGGTATGATGACGTGTATCGCACTGATGATATGGTATGGTGACGTGTATCGCACTGATGATGATATGGTATGATGACGTGTATCGCACTGATGATGATATGGTATGATGACGTGTATCGCACTGATGACATGGTATGGTGACGTGTATCGAACTGATGACATGGTATGATGACGTGTATTGCACTGATGACATGGTATGATAACGTATGTCGCACTGATGACATGGTATGATGACGTGTGTCGCACTGATGACATTGTATGATGACGTTTATCGCACTGATGACATGGTATGACGTGTATCGGACTGATGGCATGGTAAATGGATCGTGTACAGCACAGATGACACATGATATGGTATATTGTAAGTGTATCGCACTGTTAATGGTATATGGAGAGTTTATGGCACAGATGATATGGTATATTGTAAGTGTATCGCACTGTCAACATGGTATATGGTAAGTTTATGGCACAGGTGATATGGTATATTGTAAGTGTATCGCACTGTCAACATGGTATATGGTGAGTTTATGGCACAGGTGATATGGTATATTGTAAGTGTATCGCACTGTCAATGGTATATGGTGAGTTTATGGCACAGATGATATGGTATATTGTAAGTGTATCGCACTGTCAATGGTATATGGAGAGTTTATGGCACAGATGATATGGTATATTGTAAGTGTATCGCACTGTCAATGGTATATGGAGAGTTTATGGCACAACTGATATGGTATATTGTAAGTGTATCGCACTGGCAATGGTATTTGATGATTTTAGCGCACAGATGATATGGTATATTGAACATGTATCGCACAGATGACATGGTATATTGAACATGTATCGCACAGATGACATGGTATATTGAACTTGTATCGCACAGATGATATGGTATATTTAACATGTATCGCACACATGATATAGTATATTGTAAGTGTATCGCACTGTCAATGGTATATAGTGAGTTTATGGCACAGCTGATATGGTATATTGTAAGTGTATCGCACTGACAATGGTATTTGATGATTTTAGCGCACAGATGATATGGTATATTGAACATGTATCGCACACAGGATATGGTATATTATAAGTGTATCGTACTGGCAATGGTATATGGTGAGTTTATCGCACAGATGATATGGTATATTGAACATGTATCGCACACATGATATGGTATATTGTAAGTATATCGCTCTGTCAACATTGTATACAGTGAGTGTATGGCACAGATGATATGGTATATTGTAAATGTATCGCACTGTCAACATGGTATATGGTGAGTGTATGGCACAGATGATCTGGTATATTGAACATGTATCGCACACATGATACGGTAAATTGTAAATGTATCGCACTGTCAACATGGTATATGGTGAGTGTATGGCACAGATGATCTGGTATATTGAACATGTATCGCACACATGATATGGTATATTGTAAGTGTATCGCACTGTCAACATGGTATATGGTGAGTGTATGGCACAGATGATCTGGTATATTGAACATGTATCGCACACATGATACGGTAAATTGTAAATGTATCGCACTGTCAACATGGTATATGGTGAGTGTATGGCACAGATGATCTGGTATATTGAACATGTATCGCACACATGATATGGTATATTGTAAGTGTATCGCACTGTCAACATGGTATATGGTGAGTGTATGGCACAGATGATCTGGTATATTGAACATGTATCGCACACATGATACGGTATATTGTAAATGTATCGCACTGTCAATATGGTATATGGTGAGTGTATGGCACAGATGATATGGTATATTGTTAATGTATCGACTCACTGTTGAGCGATGACAGCGGGCCTTAAGGTCGGATAATCCGTTACTGTCATTGCTGTACGCTTGTAGAGAAGGTTGTTTGGTACGGTGTCATCCCTTACTTACAATCCCATTGCCAAGCCTATCCCAAAACATGTTCAATATGTAGCGTACAGGACACAGCCCACGTGACGAAACACATACGCACAACATAGGGTGCCATGTTGTGTTGTCACAAATTCACTGCATTGTCTCATGGACATCGAGTTGAGGTTAGTTATTCCTTGAAACAATAACTGCTGCCGCTGGCCAAGTAGAGAGGGGAATCCCCACATGTGATTAGCTGACAGGTTAACACCCCCTGCACGTGCAGGCTCGCGCCCATTCTCTACAACTGCTCATAGTGCGTCCTGATTGGATGGAATCCTGAGAAAAAAATCTTGATGTGAGACTACATGCTCTCCTCAGCTCGCCTGTTTGACTGATTATGTAAGTGAATATGGATTTGTAAGAAAAACCCGCCTGTCCCCGCGCAATTAGTCGACGGCATCTATAAACCGAGAGTGGGACGGTTGGGCGAGCCATTCACTACATCTGTGGAGGAGAGCTGCAGAGTCCCACGGCATCCTACACAACACTGAGTTGTTGCAGCCAGCGAGCGTCAGTCGACTGCTAATCTCAGTGGCGCTTCTTCCCTTCTCCCAGCAGCGGTCCAACACGCAGGAATACCCCAGCTAGCGTCGTACACCATGTCTCTGGACGGTTTCATCGGCAAATGGCAAGAGGAGTCTAAGGAAGGATTTGACGAGTTCGCTGCCTCAATAGGTAGGTACACATTTTACTTCTCGCGCCAAATGTCTCGTGCTGCTTCGCGCAAGTGCTGCACGCGCTGTCAATTTTGGAAACAAACAGTGAATTTAGTTTTTCCCCCTTCGCCAATCTCCGCCAAGTCGGGCCAAATCTGAAAGTTAAATGAAACAAGGTGTATAGGTTTTTTTCCACAAGTTTTGTTCTTAGCATGAGTTTTTGTTGCCCGTTGTGACAAAAATTGTTTAAGATGACACTGGGTCGGTATTTATGCTAATCCCCGACGCTGAGGAAGCCACAGCGGGATGGGGGGAGACATAGTTTGCAGAGATTATCGCCGTCTCATGTCCAAATAGAACAGCTTTGTGTCTGTCACCTCAACACTGCGTGAATGTGAGAACCATCACCCTCCGGCACCTCCGTGTTGACATGGTCACCGTTGCCATGGAGGCACGTGACGCCGCGGATTCCACAACCCCCACCGGCCAGTCGAGAAGTACCTGTCAAATATTTAGCATGTCGTGACTTTCATCATAACATGAATCGCTCGTCACATACGACGCGGCCCTTAGCACCAGTAAGCGGGATCTTCCGCCTTCCATCATCTGAAACATTTAGCAACTCTATGTGAGGGCTTGTCACCTGTTGTAGCTGACAATGGAGACAGCTGTTAGGTACTACATACACAGGTACAACGACTTCTCCAACGGTCAGTTAGTCCGCCGACTGATCCCATGGCTGGAACAATGGACGAGGTGACACTGACCATTTGTTTGTCACCTTGTCACGGTATGTCCTTTAATTCCTACAAGATCCGTGAAGATCTTGGGTAGAATAGGTCTTCAGCATCCCATGCTTGCCGCAAGAAGCGACTATGCTTGTCGTAAAAGGCGACTAACGGGATCGGGTGGTCAGGCTCGCTGACTTGGTTGATGCATATCATCGTATCCCAGTTGATGGATCGATGCTCATGGTGTCAATCGCTGGATTGTCTGGTCCAGACTCGATTATTTACAGACCGCCGTCATATAGGTGGAACATTGCTGAATGCAGCGTTAAACAACAAACAAACAATAATCCTACAATATTCCTCCTTCACTGGACCCATGCAGGCTCCATCCCAAGGTAGCTGCGTGGATCACACTATGAATATGGCTCCATCCCTGGGTAGCTGCGTGGATCACACTATGAATATGGCTCCATCCCTGGTAGCTTAGTAGCTCAACGGTGTGGCTCTAGTTTCTTGTTTCTTAAACACATCCGTACCACAACCACCCGTCTCCACGGTGATTCCCGGCCACAAGTACCCCATTGACAGCCCTTCCCTGTTGTAAACACTATATCTACAACCGGCCCGACATAACTCCAAACTGATAAAAGTTTCACAGACACGACGGGCCATGGCATCAGTATCAGATACCACACTACGGGTCACGATATCAGGATCAAGGACACCTCGTTACGGGTCATGATATCCATATGATGGACAGTACACTGCGGGTAAAAATAATGATATGAAAGTCAATGCACTGCGGGCTAAATATCGATATGAAGCTAAATATACTACGGGCCATAATTTCAATATGAACAATACGCTACGGGGCACGATATCAATATGCAGGACAATACACTGCGGGCCATGATATCAAGATGCATGACAATACACTACGGGCCATGATATCAACATCAAGAACGATACATTATGGGCAATAATATCAATATGCAGGGAAATAGGGCCAAATTAACAATATTGATAATACACTACGGGCCATGATATCAATATGAAGGAGAATACACTACGGGCCATGATATCAATATGAAGGACAATACACCACGGGCCATGATATCAATATGAAGGACGATACACTATGGGTCGTGGTATCTGTGAAGGACGATACACTGCGAGCAGTACACTGCAGGACAAAATATCAATATAATAAAGGACAATACACTGCGAGCCCTTGTACATTTAGTATCTTGCTTCATGAAGCAATATAAGTACAAATATAAGTGTCTATTACAGAATCACTGTCACTTTGTCAATCACAGAAGCAGTGCAATATTGTCTCACAGAAGCCACGTCATATTGTCTATCACAGAAGCCGCGCTATTTTGTCTATCACAGAAGCAGTGCAATATTGTCTTACTCTATCACAGAAGCCGCGCTATATTGTCTATTACACAAGCGGTGAAATAGTGTCTCACAGAAGACGCGCTATATTGTCAATTACATAAGCTGCGCTATATTGTCTATCACAGAAGCGATGAAATAGTGTCTCACAGAAGCCGCGCTATATTACCTATCACAGACACATTGCTGTATTGTCTGTCACACAATCGCCGTCGCATTGTCTGTAACGGAATCAGTGCTATACTGAACAACAAAAGTTCCTGTGACATTGAATAAGATTTAATGCAAAGTTATGTATTTTACCAAATCTGAAACAATTTCGGTTTGCAACAGATAAAAGATTCCTGTAAGTGTTCAAATGGTTTAATTTGCCATACTGACTTCAGAAAGTGCGTTATTTCATTAAAAAAAACATGAACATGCCAAAATGTCAATTTACAAATCAATAGCGTGTGTGTCCACCTCTGGTTGCGATGCAAGTCCTGTGGGATATCTGTCCATATCTGCTGGAGCATGTTTCGAAGTTCCTGGAGTGTCTGTGGAACACGTGGTTGACGTCGAAGGTGCCGATCCATCTCATCCTACATGTGCTCGATTGGTGAGAGATCAGGGGAGCGAGCCGGTCAGAGGATGACATTCACGTTGTTTTGTTGAAGAGAATCCTGAACAAGTCGAGCAATATGAGGCCGGGCGTTGTCATGTTGAAAGGTAATGCCTGGGCCATGACGACGCAAAAACGGTAGAACAACAGGGTCGATGATCTCGTCGCGGTAGCGCTGTCCATTGAGATTTCCCTCTACCACTATCAAACGGGTCCTCTGTCTTGCTGTAATCCAACCCTATACCATAACGCTGCCGCCCTCTAACCGATCTTCTTCCATGACACAATGATTGACGTAACGTTCACCTCGACGTCGGTACACTCGAATCAGTCCATCGCTGTGGCTGAGGTGAAAACCAGACTCGTCAGTGAATAGAACTTGTCCCCACGGCATGGCCGTCCAGCGTAGACGCTGTCTGCACCACTATAGACGTGCTTGACGGTAGTTTCCTGTCAAAATGGGACGTCTGGCGGGTCTTCTGGCGACAATCTCTGCACATCTGAGGCGACGACGTACGGTATGTGAAGATATTCGTCGAAAGCCAGGGATGCTTCATGCAGTCACTGTTGCTGGCTGGAATCGAGGTTCCAGTGTTGTTCGAATCTAGTTGTCTTGTCGATTATTGGTTACGCGTGGCCTGCTACTCCGAGGTGTTTCTGTGGACGTTAAATTGTATTGCAACATCACGTTGACTCGATCTTGCTTCAAGCATACCAATGGCTCACAGACGCTCATTTTCGGACAGGCGTGGCATTTCGTAATGTTGAATAATTGCGTAATTTTGTTTTTGTTTTTTTCGTGGTTGTCAGCACGATGCTAAACACTGCGTATGGAATCCCGTTAACGCACATGTTTTTATACCCATTCTTGGGTAGTGAAATTCATGGGGCTTGCATAAAAGTCAACTTTTGCAGGGAATGCATGCTTTTCTGTTACAGTTGCGCTTTTGTGACTTGATTCAAAACATGTACTACAATATTGAAAACCAAACTTTACTTGTTTGAAAAATACACTAAAATATTGGTGTCACATGAACTTTTGTTGTTGAGTATATATTGCCTAACAAAGATTCAGTGCTATATAGTCTTGTAACGGAATCAGTGCTATATTGCCTATCACAGATTCAATGCTATATTGTCTTGTAACGGAATCAGTGCTATATTGCCTATCACAGATTCAATGCTATATTGTCTTGTCACGGAATCAGTGCTTTATTGCCTATCACAGATTCAATGCTATATTGTCTTGTCACGGAACCAGTGCTATATTGCCTATCACAGATTCAATGCTATATTGTCTTGTAACGGAATCAGTGCTATATTGCCTATCACAGATTCAATGCTTTATTGTCTTGTAACGGAATCAGTGCTATATTGCCTATCACAGATTCAATGCTATATTGTCTTGTAACGGAATCAGTGCTATATTGCCTATCACAGATTCAATGCTTTATTGTCTTGTAACGGAATCAGTGCTATATTGCCTATCACAGATTCAATGCTATATTGTCTTGTAACGGAATCAGTGCTATATTGCCTATCACAGATTCAATGCTAAATCGTCCATCTCAGAAGTTGCGCTATATTGTCTATCACAGAATCATTACTATATGGTCAGTCGCAGATTCATTGCTTTACTGTCTATCACAGAAGCAGAGTTGCATTGTTGTTTGAATGTCCTCAACGTGATCATTAAGGAAAACACGTCTATCGATGTTTATGCCATCGGTGATGTAGGGCCCGGATGTTACACGAGTGGAGATTGAGTTCCCCTGTAGATAAAATCTGGCTGCCGTCGTCGTGATGTAGCGGCCGTCGCTCACAGGGGTCCCCACAAATTGAGGCAGTTGCAGACTAAAAGCGCTGCTACCTAAGCAGTGTTTCTTGCTGAACTCAAAGGCGAAAAACTTCAGCGTTTCAAGCGGCATACCTGTATGAAATTAACCTCTCCAAGGCCAAGTACATTCACACTTGGCGTTCGTGTGCTTGAACGGCTTCCTAACATGTACCTGCATGCTCCATTGCTTCCCCTGATTCGAGGCGGCCAGACTGGGGGGACCCGAGTCCTGATCAGTTATATCTCTCTGCCACAAGACATAGGTGCATAATATACCACTTCTTGTGAGTATATATATATATACTTGTGAGTATATACCAAAAGACGCTAAAAGATGGTACTTGTTGTTACCCTGTCTGGCGCTCGGCGGCTTAAACAGGGACTGGTCGGCTCGGAGTCTATATACTGTGTCTGAGTGGGGTATTCATGTTAAACTGCGGCATGGTATC